CCTTCTCCATTATTTAAGTTGGTTCAAAGTAAATCATTCTGCCCTCTAATAGTGAAGGAAGTCACAGAAGTAATTGATTTCTAGTACTGCTTAACAGAGGGCTTCATTAGAATGCCAAAAAAAAAAAGTGCATTTTTTTCAAAGAATTTATATCTGGTCATTCTTGTATTCATTTAAAGAAGCAGAAAATGCACTCGTTGTAGCAACATACAGATAGACACTGTAAGTCAAGAACCCATACAAGTGCTATAGAATAAAAATTAGTTGCCTTCTTAAATTTAGCAGTTTATTTTGGGGAAAAAAAAAATCTGAATGTTTCTAGAAATATCAAGTGGCTTTTCTATCTTAAATACATCTGGAGACTGTTTCTTTGGCATCTTTCACAGTATGTTGGAGATGTGCTATGAAAAAAAATAATTATTTTCATCATTTAAATTAGAAGAATTCAAGAATAAAAGGGGGGGGGGGCGAAGAGCTAAAATGATGCAGGACATCATGGATAACGTTCTCTGTCATCACAGTAGAGTACAACAGCTGAAACTGGAGTAAGACTTTTGGTTTATTCAGAGCTTAATCCTTTTACTGAACTGCCAACAACCTGAAGGCTGGAGACTGGTTTTCCATGATGTGAGCTGATTTGAAGGCTATTACAAGGAAGAGTAAACATTAAGAGATAATTATGAAAGAAAACCCCATCTTCTAGATACATGACTTCTGCCTTTCTCACCTCAAAAAACAAACAAACAAAAAACAAACACCCAACCACCTCGACTGTAGAATGGTGTGGTTTTACCTAAAGAACTGAAGCAGTGGGAGAATGCTGGTATATTATGCGCTAGCAAAAAATGGAGTTGGCCCTGTACTATAAATTAGTGATTTTTATGGAGCAGGAATACACAGGCTATAGAAGTCCATGTCAACTGCTCTTGTATTACAAAATTAAAACAGTTCAATAGTGTTTAATAGAACTATAATATGAATAAGAATTAAAAAAAAAAAAAAACACTAACAAGGAAACATCAAGGAAAGACGTGTTTAAAAGGAGAAGAACCCACTGCACACTGCTCAGCTGTTTTTATATGTTCTTGCTGGTGTATTTGCCTTGATGCTATATTGGCCACTGTTTCTGAAAAGGTATATTCCAGTTTGATACAAATGTGCGTCCTGTTTACTAAGTGTTTGCTTTAAGAATAGTTTATAAAATATTTTTCCTTGATTCTGGAGTAATATGCCACAAAGAGTCTTTTTCTTCATTATGACACCTGGTATCCCTTGCCCAGAGTGTGCCTTCTGGCTCTGAAATCTTGTAGCCTAAGCCAGAATGCAATGCTGATGAGGAAAAACTGTTTTGCTGAAGCCCTGCTACAATGAGCATTTCCTGAAATGCCTATATTTTTTTGGAGGTCCACCTAGCTATGCAGAATATTTTTTTTTGAACTATTGCTGTGGGTGTAAAAGGCTTAATAGTGGGAGCTGTTGTAATGGAGGGCTTTCTGGGTTATGATAGCACAGCTGTTCTCTCTTTTAAGCTCATAAAAAGCTTTAGACTGAAGGCTGGCAGCACACCAAGGAGACATTATCAGTCTGATACTACTGTAATTTGTAGCTTGGAAGCACAGGGTAATGGACTACATGATGTGCTTGCTTAGAGTGAAAATATGGTTATTAATTACCATTATCAATTTATTAGCACAATTGAGCTTGACAGCACTAATATTCTACTATTAATCCGAAATATAAGAGACAAATATCTAATTACTGGTTTGCTGTCTTGAACCCCAGCTCTGTTAGCTATCTGCCTCCCTCCGTTAACAAATGCATACCAAGAACATTTTCCATGATAACGCCTCTGGTGACTATATTACTGATTCAGTCATTAGTAAACTCCCTGTGCTTTCTTATTTTATGCATTTATTCAAATTACTTTGTAAAACTGATAGTTCTTTGCACTTTGATTTTTATTTCCCAAAATCTACATGTAATATTAGAGAGACTTTTAAGATTGATCATCAAATAAAGGATAAATCCAGCTGTGCATAGGTAGTAATTACCTTGTCATATTTTTTCAGTATGATTTCTAACTGATTAATTCAGCTTTATCAACAGCAAAAATGTCAATAGGTGTGCAAAACTGGATTACATTGTCCCATGTTTATAACCTGCATCACTGTTTTTCCCTTCAGGTAGTCAGTCTTGGGAGTTTCTCATCCTGAAGTAGGTATCTTCGCTTCATTCAATAAATTGCTCTAGACACCATTTGATTGCTTGTCCTAGATCTCTCCTGACAACTGACCTACAAGTAAATACCTCTTTATTATAGACGTAGAACACAAATCAAGATGAATCCTTCTCTTAGTGATCTCCAAAGTCTTTGTATCAAACCCTTGAGTGTCATCTGTGTGTTGCTTAGATCTCGTAAAGGTGAATTCAGATGGGCATGACTCAATCTGTGTCAAGGTGCTACCTAGCTAATGGGTAGTGTCACTTCTGGGTTTCCCATTTCTGCAAATAACTATGCCTTTAATCTGATGTGGCTTCTAGTGAGAACTATAAAATTCCTGATGCACCACTAGGAATCAATGTATGCACCACCTAGTTAGTCCTCAGACTGGTCACACTTGGAATGAAGTAAAATCCTGGGAGTTACCTACTTTGCCAGAAGCCTAGGATACCACGAGAGCAATTTCTCAGATGTGTGAGAGCTTCATCTCTGGGTACTGCATTTAAACTAGTAGTGCTTCAGTGATGTTGGCTGAGACTGTCAGCCAACTCAGCTACTCAGCTGGTAGCAGCTGAGAATATGGTTCATGCTGGAAGAAAATGGCGAGTCCTTAAAGTGCCATTTGAAAAGGCTAGGTGATTTGTTATTCTTTTTAAAGATTTTCAAGTATAACTTGTCTGCTGACTGGATGACATGCAAGTCCCAGCATAAAAAATAACACTTTTATAGTTGGTTTTCAAACAGAAGGTGAGTATGAAATTCCTTCTCCAAGTGTTTGTGTAAGTAAAGCTTGGATGTCCTGGGAAAAAGAATACAAAAAGGGAAAAACTGTTCAGGAAGCAAACTTATTCACAGGTAGCATGTCATTCTCTCACAAGTAATGTGGTACTGCAACTGCCAATGGGCAAGTCAAATATTTCAGTGGTAAAATCAAGCTTCTTTTCCTTTAAAGAAAAACTTTACTAAATAGTACTGACATTTTTTATCCCTGCTGTGGAAAGGCCCTTTGGGAACAGAAATGTTGCAACCCCTTTAGTGTTTCTTAAGCCAGACTGACTTTTCAATTCTCACCATATTTTCCAAGCTAAAGTCAGAAACAAAATCAAAGTGCAGCTGTCACCTTTCTTAGAGTGAAGAGATGATATTAAATATAAGTGTGATTAACATCCAGTAAAAACAAAGTTGAAGAAAATGCCAGAGCCGAGCCTGGGAGTGCCTGTGTTCTGGTAAAAATGAAGTCAAGTGATCCACCATGGCACCTGTATGGTTTAAAATTAGATAATGATAGTCAAAGGCATCTTGCTTGAATGCTAGATAATCACCTCATTAATCATTCAGATGGTGTACTTTCATTCATTATCCCTTGCTTGAATCGTTATGAAAGTTATTTTTTTTGTGGAAGAGAAGATATAAAAGTAAATCTGGATCTTTCTATAAAACATATGTTTAGAAGAAAATTTAATGTCTATTAGGAAAGCTCTGGAAGTCTTTCCATCTGTGCCAAATGGCAGAAATACGCTGCTTGAAACTGTGGAAGCCATTCTTTCCCTGCCTGCAGACACCAGTCAGGACACAGAAGTGCTTGTCAGATCCATGGGCACATCCCAGCCCCAGCTGCTGTACCAGTCCCATCTACCAGCTCAGGAGTACGAGCAGTTACTGGTCTGAGGTAGTCTGGCTGCAGCACCAAGGCAGATGCATTTAAAAACATTAATTTAAAAATATTTTGGAAAATTATTTTTGAGAAATGGCAAACAGCAGAATGCAACAAGAAAAGGGTGAAGGATGAAGAACCAGTTAATATTATTTGCCTGCACTGTGAGCGTTTCTGCAATTTCCCTATCCAGAAGACTCATCAAAAGCTATTAATGTGGAATAGACAGAGCTGAAGCAAAGTTTCTGTACTCTTCAGATTTTTATCTTTTATTACAATGTTTTCACTTAATTGCCTTCGCTTATACCAAAGCAAAATGATTTAATCATATATATAATTTAAGCTTCCCTGTTGTGAAAGCTCTACCTCTGTATATTGCAATATCTTTGTAACAATGGGGTCTGGTGTATTATAGGCACAGAAATAGATTTTATTGCCTTGTGCAATAATGTGACATATCTTCTAAAGATATGTCGCAAACAAAGCTGTACAGAAGGATAAAATGCTGTCTGTGGGGATGAAATCTGTCATTGTTCTTCCTCAAATAATTTTGAAACAGTGCCAGAGCACAAACACATCGTCCACCAGTGACCTTTGTTGATTTGAAACTTGCTAATCTGAAAGTGCTTACCTAATCTTGAGCCTGGTCTTTAGAACTCACACTGTCAGGATATTTCAATGCCATTGGAAAATAGCGCACATTCTGTGACACCTCCAGTCCCACCCAAATTGTCTCGCCTTTGCTGATCATCTGGAAGAATAGATAGCAGTGAGAAATGAGACACTTCAGAATTGGATCTCTTTCTAGTGAGGTAATAGAGTAGGAAGGGACTTTTTGCTGCAGCAATATAAAGCTTCCAGCTGTAGCTCTGCAAACTTGCAATGTCCTAAATATTTATTTGGTGAATGTTATTTTCTTCTGGTTGTGGGTTTATTCTTTGTGCAGTCTTTCTTATGGAGCATTAAAAGTCACTTATGATTAAAGGCTGTTTTAGCATGAAAACTGGTGATACGTATGAAATGCCAGTTCTTGGGTGTCAGCCCTGAGCTTCCAGGTGTGCAGCTCTCACATACCCCAAATACAGTTCCTGTCTTGGGACTGTTAGCAGACCTTTTCTTGCACAGGCTTTGCTGGAGAGCCAGGATCACTGCTGGCTGTGGAAGCGAATCAGCAAGTATGGCTGCGAGTGACGTGCCCCATGCTGCAGCAAGGTCAGTCTTGTTCTGCAGGAGGGTGCTCATGTCCTGCCTGTGAACTCTTCCACAGCTTTTCCTCTCAGCTCTGACATACATGTGGCATGTGACTTGTGTGTCAAGGAGACTGGCCACCAGGATGTTACCAGTGTTCTTCAGTTTGTTCTTCAGTTGTGTGATTGGTTGCTGAAACCATCGTGATGAGCATTAGGGAGCATCTTCATGGGGAAATTGCTAGGGATCCATTTGCTTGTATGTAGTACATTAGCATATCTTTGTTGACAGCATTTAAACAGTGTGATGCTTTTTTTCTTTCAGCACCTGCTTAAATACAATTCTTATTCACAGATTTTGGATGGAGGAGTTGTGTTGCAGCCAGAGGATTCAAATTTTAGTGGAATATCTGTAAAAAAAGATGTCAGGGTAACTTTCATTCAAGAACTGGCACAAAACTGTTACAGCATACCTTTTGGGGAGAAGCTGTGAGAAAAGCAAGAAAACAAATCCACCAAAACATTACTAGGAGCTATCACTCATGAAAGGCGATGCAAGCCCTTCTTTGAATTCTTCTTGGGCTATGGATCAGAATGTCTATTGTTTTTTCACTATCTAGCAGTAATTTTACCCCAGAAAGCTAGATATACCTTTTGTTAATCACAGAAGTCATTAGGAATATAGCTTCCTTTACATTGTGGTAGTTTGACATCTGAGCAAATTCAAATGAGTTTAGTTACTGTTCATGGGAAAGTCATCACAAGATTTGAGCCATAAAACAATGCACATAAAACTATGTTCAGTTAGTTCAGATCTAAATATAAAAGGAGTAAGATCATTTTGTGTTCTCGCTGAGGGCAGGCACAAAGATAAACTGAACTGATTTAAAAATATATGAAAATTCGAACTGCAATAGAAATCTCTGAAAATTATCTTTAAAGAGAAAGGGGAACCTAGCAACAGCTTCTGCAGATTTTAAAAATGAAATGCCTTCTCACTACCTAAATTAAAATAAAACTGGCCCAAGATGGATCTTTTTTTTTCTAGTTGAAGATAAACCTGCTGGTTTCAGTGGAGCTATTCATGTGGAGAAATGTGATTTTTTACAATAACACGTTTTCTCCAGTCTCTTTATTCACTTTACACTATGCACTTATAAAGATCCTGCAGACCTGTCCACATTTCATTTAATATTTTATATAGATAATTAGCGGAGAAGATGTGAAATCTGGGTATAGGCCAGATTCGCTGGGTTTTCTGTAATGTCTTGAATGATAGTAGTTAGGAAAAACACCTTTTAATGTCTTTTAATGTCTTTGTAACCTGCTATTTCTTTGGTGTAAATTTAAAAGAAATACAATCTTGAGGGGTAGCCACTACCCAGGGGGTATGTCCTGCTGCATGTCTGTTAGCAAAACGAAAAGTGAGAGGATTCAGAAAATTGAGTCAAATTATAACAGTGGGGTTGATGGAGTTGGGGGCTTTGTGGAGGGACTCATGTAACTGTGGCGATGAAACCGGAGTCATCCAGTACACATCAGAGTCCGGGCAGATGGTGCTTAAGACCTGAAAAGCTACTTCAGAATGCCCCCCCCCCCCCCCCCCCAGTTGAGGAAACAGCAGTTTATGAAAAATACAGAATTTTTTTTTCACTTTTCTTTTAACTGAGAAATACTCAACTGATTGAATTGTACTTAATATGGTGTGTGTAGGTGCAGCATCTGAAATCCAACACAGGAGGCATGATTTTGGCAAAAGCAAAACAACAGATGCTTGTGACAAGCAGGTTGTATAACAGATTTCTCTTGCAACCTAGGTCAGCTGTTTTTCACCAAGATTGAGTTTAACTGAAATGGTTAGTATTAGATAAAATATATATTCATATGCAGTTGAGGTATGATCTTGGCTTCCTTTACATTGATATTTTCACTGAATTCAGCATTTGTTAAAGTTACAGCTAATTATAACCTTGTGGACAATAATTGTTTTACTTACACCAACTGTATATAATAGCTACTAAATCAGAGCTATTTCATTTTTTTTAATTGTACATATATTTAGGGGAACATTCTAAAGACACGTGCAATATTTATTCTGTATTCAACTCAGCAAAACAACTGCAATTAAGGAAGAAATAAAAGGAGGAGGGGGAGGGAAGACTAATTTTGGAAAAACAGCTCCTCCAATAGCTTGGAAATACTTCTTGCAATATGTTAAGGCTAATATAACTGTCACAGCCTTCTGTGGAGCACCCTTCATGAAAACATTCAAGTGGAAAAATTGAAAAGCTCATGTAAATGTCAATCTGAATATGTGACTCTACAGTTTTTTGCTGTATGAAGTAGCTGCTTAGACTTTAGATGGTGAAATCATGTCTTATTTTGGTGGTGGTTTCCTTTTGATTTTCTGTTGTCCTGCTTTGCTTGTTATACAACAATGTAGCAATGTGCTGTGGGAAGAGTTAGAGCTGGACACCTGCAATATCTGTGCTTCTGTGTGTATTTGGGAAGGAGAAAGGTGATGGGCGTGGGTTTTAGTCCCTTCTAGCTCCTGGAGCTGGTGTGCATAGAGGCAGTGCTGCAGCTGGAATGTGCTTCTTAGTCAATGATAATCTCAAAGTTCATGCATAAAGCAAAATAGTGCTACAAAAATGAGATGACAGACAAAAGATAAGCTATAAAAACAACACAAATGTAAGCATAATGTCAAGTGTGTGCATGTGTTGTAGTTAATCGTTTAAAAGCATTGCTTTGAAAACAGGAATAAACTTTGTCTCAACATGGTGTTCAAGTGCATCTTTCCTGTGACCTCCTGGTACCACTGCAGAGGTGCTGGGTGTAACTGTGGAGGCACTGGCTTGGTTTTAGAAGCAGCAACCTGATGGCTGCTTACTGAAGCCCATCACCTGGAGCCTCTGCCATGCTGGTTCCCATGGTGTGGGAACCAGCCTTGGTCTTCCCTCAGAAGAGTCCTCTTCATCTCTCTGCGCTTATCTCCTTGCTCTTATCTTGAGCCTTGGGGCTTGAGTTTCCTGTTCCTTGAAGAACATGGTTTCCTTTTTAGCCTGGTTTCAAAGACTCTGCCTCTGTTTACCCCTGTCTTTACCTCTTAAACTCAATAAGCAGTTCAGAGAAATTTGACGGCAGAGAGATCTCAGCTGAATACACATATCTACAGCCACCGAAGTGGGGTACACAGATATTATCTCATATGTGCAATGTGGCAGTGATGGAGGGCTGCAGGGTAGGTGTTTAATTGACCCTAAGGAGTTAGTATTCATCTCAGCTGGGTGACAAAGAAGTAGGAGCTCCCAGGAGGTGGTGTGGGTTAAAGCCCCGCAATGTATACTTTGCTGAACTGGAACATGTTTTGATAACTATGTTTAGACATTGGCTAATAAGAGTGTTCAGATAGGGTATTTGTCAGGTTGGACTGTTTTAACACCAAGGATATTTAAAAGCTATTTTTTAGGTCATTGAGATATTAATGGTATTGTAAATGTGGAACTGCAAGGCAGGGAACTGAACTGCTTTCAGTCAGGAAAATCACTTGTATTACAGTAAGCACATAAAGGAGGATGTATCGATCTGAGTTACAAAAAGATATGCTTGAGGAATAGCTCTGTGCAGATGCCCCTAAAATATCACTTTTGCTATTTGTGATTCACTTTGTCCTGCTAAACCAAGGAAGTTGTGGCCTGGCAATAGACGGCAAAGTCCTGCCGAAGTTTTGCTTCAGAAAGTGTTTCTTTGGAGGGACTGCAGTGATGTAAGTAGGAAGTAATTCTGTTTCTTTATTTCTGCTGAAGTAAACCTTTGGCATTTTATAATAATTTTAATACACTTCATCAGACTTGAGCCTAACAATATTAATTGAATCTTGCCCAACCTAACTTAGCAGCTTGTTTTGTCATGAGAAAAACCGTCAATTAGAACTCACAATCCATCACTAAAACAAAATCCTAGGAACGCAAGTCTAGCTAACTTACTGTTCATAGAGCTACTTGGTCTGTAGTAATGTTAACATTCAGGAGCCTTCCCAGTTTAGGAAAAAATGCACATAATATCAATATTCACATGCTATTAATTCAATAACAGAAGATGCAGCCTGAAGGGCTACGTGGTGTAGCTTTCTTAAGAAGTACCTGCAGTAATATGCTACTTAAAATGACTATGAACAGTTGATAATATGCAATATCTGAAATTTATTACAGCCTTGAGAGTTACACTGCGTTTACTACAACAGTTCTTCCAGTAGTATGATGTTGTAATGTATATCTGTACATCAATACTGACCATTACAAATTGAGTACAAACAAATGTAGTTGCCGAGGCGATCGGCTCCGGGGCAGATGCGTTCTGCAGCGGAGTGGGGGACCGGACAGGCAGAGCTAATTTTTCCAGCACCGAGCCCACTCGAGGGAGCCGCCAGGACCGGCAGCCTTCGCGAGGGAGGTGAACGAGGAGAGAACGAGGCGTAGGCGGAGCCAGCAGCACCCCCACCCTCGCCGTTAAAAAGCTGCCCCGAGGGAATACGAGTGACCAGGAGGGCAGTCAGGGCGAGCAGGAAGGGCAGAACATTTCCCCCTGCCCATGCAAACACCTCCTCTAACGGCGGTCTACCGCTAGCTCAGCTGCAGCGGTGTACACCAGGCACAGTGCGCTCTCCAGGAAGTCTGTACACACCCAGACCGACTGCCCACATCAGGGAGCGTGAGCGCGAGATAGACTTGTGGAGCAACTCCCTGAGTGGCCTGAAGGACAGGTACCGGGGTGAGACCCCCCCAGATGGGGGGCTCTTCAGAAGGGACAGGCAGCATGGAAGGGGTGGTGGTGTGGCTCTCTGTATCAGAGAGAGTTTTGATGTCATGGAACTTGAGGCTGGGAATGATAAGGTGGAGTCCCTATGGGTTAGGATCAGCGGGAAGGCCAACAAGGGAAGCATCCTGGTGGGGGTCTGTCATAGACCACCAAACCAGGATGAGGAGACTCATGAGGAATTCTACAGGCAGCTGACAAAAGTTGTGAAATCGTCAGGACTTGTGCTTCCAGGATATATCTGGGAAGTTGAAGTCCCCCACGAGAACAACACAGCCCAGAGAAAGCAGTCTAGGAGGTTTCTGGAGAGCGTGGAAGATAGCTTCTTGATGCAGCTGGTTAGTGAGCCTACCAGGGCAGGTGCCCCGCTAGACCTTCTCTTCACAAACAGAGAAGGACTGGTGGGAGATGTGGTGGTTGGAAACTGTCTTGGGCAGAGTGGCCATGAAATGGTAGAGTTCTCCATTCTTGGAGAAGCCAGGAAGGGGACCAGTAAAACTGCTGTATTGGACTTCTGGAGGGCTGACTTTGAACTGTTCAGGACACTGGTTGGCAGAGTCCCTTGGGAGGCGGTTCTGAAGGGCAGAGGAGTCCAGGAAGGCTGGGAGCTCTTCAAGAAGGAAATCTTAATGGCGTGGGAGTGGTCTGTTCCCACATGCCCAAAGACAAGCAAGAGGAAGAGGAATGTCCTGGCTGAACAGAGAATTGTGGCTTGAGCTTAGGAGAAAAAAGAGGGTTTACAATCTTTGGAAAAGAGGGAGGGCCACTCGGGAGGACTATAAGGATGTTGTGAGGCAGTGCAGGGACAAAATTAGAAAGGCCAAAGCTCATCTGGAGCTCAATCTGGGTACTGCTGTCAAAGACAACAAAAATTGTTTTTACAAATACATAAATGCAAAACGGAGGACTAAGGGAAATCTCAGTCAGGCCCAGTCAGCATGTGTTTATGAAAGGCAGGTCCTGCTTGACAAACCTGATCTCCTTCTATGACAAAGTGATGTGCTTGGTGGATGAGGGAAAGGCTGTGGACGTGGTCTACCTTGACTTCAGCAAGGCTTTTGACACCGTTTCCCACAGCGTTCTCCTCAAGAAACTGGCTGCTCATGGCTTGGACTGGCGTATGCTTCATTGGGTTAAAAACTGGCTGGATAGCTGGGCCCAAAGAGTTGTGGTGAATGGAGTCAAATGCAGTTGGAGGCTGGTCACTGCTGGCGTTCCCCAGGGCTCGGTACTGGGGCCGGTCCTCTTTAATATCTTTATCGATGGTCTGGATCAGGGGATCGAGGGCACCCTTAGTAAGTTCACAGATGACACCAAGTTAGGTGCGTGTGTTGATCTGCTGGAGGGTAGGAAGGCTCTGCAGGAGGATCTGGATAGGCTGCACCGATGGGCTGAGGCCAACTGTATGAAGTTCAACAAGGCCAAGTGCCGGGTCCTCCACCTGGGGCGCAATAACCCCAAGCAGAGCTACAGGCTGGGAGATGAGTGGTTGGAAAGCTGCCAGGCGGAGAAGAACCTGCGAGTATTGGTGGATAGTCGGCTGAATATGAGCCAGAAGTATGCTCAGGTGGCCAAGAAGGCCAACAGCATCCTGGCTTGTATAAGAAGCAGTGTGGCCAGCAGGGCTAGGGAAGTGATTGTCCCCCTGTACTCGGCTCTGGTGAGGCCGCACCTCAAGTACTGTGTTCAGTTTTGGGCCCCTCGCTACAAGAAGGACATTGAGGTGCTTGAAAGAGTCCAGAGAAGGATGACGAAGCTGGTGGGGGGTCTGGAGAACAAGTCCTGCGAGGAGCAGCTGAGGGAGCTGGGCTTGTTCAGCCTGGAGAAAAGAAGGCTCAGGGGCGACCTTATCACTCCTTATAAGTACATTAAAGGAGGCTGTAGTGAAGTGGGGGTTCGTCTGTTCTCTCACGTGCCTGGTGACAGGACGAGGGAGAATGGGCTAAAGTTGCGCCAGGGGAGTTTTAGGTTAGATGTTAGGAAGAACTTCTTTACCGAGAGGGTTGTTAGACACTGGAACAGGCTGCCCAGGATAGTGGTGGAGTCACCATCCCTGGAAGTCTTTAAAAGATGTTTAGATGTTGAACTTTAGTGATATGGTTTAGTGGAGGACTTGTTTGTGTTAGGTCAGAGGTTGGACTCGATGATCTTGAGGTCTCTTCCAACCTAGACAATTCTGTGATTCTATGAAATCTTTCCAGCATCACTTACAAAGAGTGATTTTAAGTTTTCCTTTTAAAAAGCTTCTCTAAGGCCAGATTTTTCCTAAGTCAATATCCATTCATTTTCAAGTACAATCTGACCTCCTGGTAAACTTTAAAATATAGCCACAAGAACTGATACAATTTTTTTCCATTCTAAACACAAATATAGTTTCATGATTCAAAGCTAACGGGGCATTTCTGATTAATCTTAAGAGAAAGTTACTCAAATATATTCACTGCTCATTTTCTGCAGCCCATTTGGTTAAACTTCATTAATATATTTTAATTTTAAATATTTAAATGTTAAATTTTCATCAGTATACGTATTAAGTGCAAGAGTACTTCCTAAGCCAGACAGGCCCCATATCCAGGGCAAACCTTGTGAGTAGGTAAACTTAGGGAGTAGGTGCAAAAAAAAACAAAACAACAACAACAACAAAAAAAACTCATTTGAATAATAATTTATTGTGTGTCCTTGACTGCCAAAGACTGCCTGCCTGCAAGAATAAAGATGTTTCTGGGCAGGGAGAGCTAAGTGAAGGACACAGTGAGCTGAAGCTCTTGCAGCAGGGACAGAAGAGTAGCAGGCACAGACGGAGCTGTGCTTCAACATCGTGTTTTATCAGGTGTGCCAGGACCTCCCCAGGACGGGCTTTAATGAGATGAGAAGTCTTACAGCTCCAGGACATGATTTTGTGGTGTTGGAGGAGATAAAAGATGCCTGATGCCCTTAAAATAGAATGTTTTGGTTGTATAAGAAGGAAGAAATATAGCAAGGAAAATAGGACGTGTAGAACGTGTCCATGGGCTTAAGAGCTACACACAACTTAAATTCACAGTGGCAGGAGCAAGATCACTAGATGGAGAGTCTGGCTTTTCAGCATGGATCACGCTGCTGAAGACATCAGCAATGTTCCAGATAACTCTTCTAATGTAAGCTTTCCTGATGCCTCTTTCTGGACAGCTGCATCTTCATCTTTCTTAGATGACTCAAGTCATAGATGACAGAAAAATGGGTCAATGATGATTAGTGGAGCATGGTACGAAATGGCCAGCAGCAGAGCTAAGTGATGGACAGAAAAGCAAAGAACAGTGAAGTGCTGCTGTATTCCCTTACCATCTGCTGAGCCCTTTTATGTATTTAGAAATTCAGTTCCACTTGTGGTTTTGTTTCTGTAAGCCATTCACCGCCCACTTGTTCTGCCTCTTGCTGTTCACATTCACAAGTAGTGAATGCATTCAGAGAGGTGACCTGGTCCCTTTCTATTCTACAGACTAGCTTACTTTCTGGAAGGACTGTCTGCCTGAACTAGTAGGAGAAAGGTGCGATTGCAGCCATCTCAGTTCCATCTCAGTTGGTAGCAGCTTATATTGCTTTGGATCTGCAGTGTTAGTTCTCAAACCCTGCACTGCTTAGCTACTGCTGTAACTTCAGCCTAATGCAGTAACTCATCTAACAACTGAACGTGAGGAACCTAGGTCAATATCAGTAAGCGCTGATACCAAAGTTAGACACCTGAAACTGTTTGCTTCATAAAAGCATCTTGATTTTTTCTAGGGTTTTGAGCAGTCTTTAGACTCAGCATAAGATGATGTTTTTATTGAGCAATTTTCAGAGTTTAAACACAGATTTGATATGTAAATACAGACATCCAGCTTCAAAGTAAACACAGAAATAAAACCAAACAACTTTCAGTCCTATATGATGTGAAACCATGGGGGGAGGGGGAGAGCTGCTTTTAGAAATGCAGCTAAATCTAAGTTTAAATCTAAGTTTTCTCAGTAAATTTATGTTATGGAGCCTCATCAGCTGTTTTTATTTTGATCTAATTTTGATCAAAATCTCAATTATCTCACAATTCTTAATAAAATTCTTAATAAATATCACAGGTTTGATTGAGGAGTAGGGCAAACAACTGTATAGAAAATGCCTGCCTACTATTAAAAATGGTAAGGGGTGAAGGTAGGAGTGGAAAGAGGTTAATATGTGGTTGCTATACGCTTGTGGAATGGAATCGATATGCCTGTCACCCCTCTGGGGTAAGAACATCAGGTTCCCATCCTCCTGGCATGGTATTTGTTTGCTGGGGGATGGATGTACCTTACATGGAGGCAGAGTGAATTCCTCCTGTGGGAATTCACTGCATGGGTGAAACATACAGCTGCTTATCATCCCTCTGGAATGGGATGACAGGGTCCCTCACATCCACCAAGCCCTGTAAAGGGGGTAATAGTTTCCAGAGACAGCTCTGCCCCACAATCCAATCGCAAAATAGTTGGCACATGATGGCACTTTGGGCTGCTGCCAGGGGCAGCCTTTGTCTGAGGAGTCCCAGGCCTCTTCTCTGCAGGCAGCTCCTCACTGCTGTCCTCCCCCTGGAGGCTTACAGCATGGGGCACAGGCTGCACCCAGGCAGTGACGGCAGCGGGTGGCACTGACGATGAGGCGGCTCCTTCCTTCTGGCAGGTGGTGTCCTGGTGATAGGAAACCAGCTCATTGCTGAAGTTGACCCTCTCCACAGTGGACTTACGTGTGTCACAGCAGAAGCACCTGCAGCCCAGCAGGTTGCTGAAAGCCCGCCTGAAGTCTGCATTGAAAGCGTAGATGACTGGGTTCACCGAGGAGTTGGCCCAGCCAAACCACACGAAGATGTTGAAGGTGGTTTGGCCAACGCAGGCTGACTGCCCTTCCCGGTCGCTCTCCGGCTGGCAGAAAGGCAGCAGGCAGTTGAGCAGGAAGAAGGGCAGCCAGCAGCAAACGAAGACTCCCATTATGATAGAGAGGGTCTGCAGCACCTTGGTCTCCTTGCGCAGGGAGCTCCGCAGAGCGGAGGTGGGCTCCTTGCCATGGGCTGGCCACTGCCCCCCTGCTCGCTCGAGGGTGGAGATGCGGCGGATCTGGGCCTGGGCGATCCGGTAGATCCTGGTGTAGGTGATGATCATGATGGCCACAGGGATGTAAAAGCTGACGAGGGAGGAGGTGATGGCGTAAGTGCGGTTCAGGCTGACCTCACAGCGCGGTGTCCCAGGCGGCTGGGAGCCCGGCTGCCTCCTGTCCTTGGCTTTGTGCCAGTGTAGCTGCACAGGGACGAAGGAGATGAGGACGGAGAGGGCCCAGGCCGCAGCTATCATGGCGCAGGCGAGGCGCTGCGTCATCCGCCGCTCATAGCGAAAGGGGCTGGCGATGGCCCAGTACCGGTCCAGGCTGATGATGCAGAGGTGGAGGATGGAGGCGGTGGAGCACATGATGTCAAAAGCCACCCAGGTGTCGCAGAAGCGGCTGCCGAAGAGCCAGGAGCCGCCGGCCACCTCGGTGACCGCCTTCCAGGGCATAACCAGGACGGCCACGCACAGGTCGGAGACGGCCAGCGACAGCACGAACCAGTTGGTGACCTTGGCGCGGAGGTGGCGGAACCGCAGCACGGCCAGGCACACCAGCGCGTTGCCCGCCAGCGTGCCCAGCACCAGGGCGCCCAGCAGGCAGCCGCCCAGGGCCCGCAGCGCCCGCGGGCCACCCCCCGCCGCCGCCGCGCTCGCCATGGGGGGCGCTCCGCCGCCCGGGGGGGCATCGCCGGCCGCCCCCCGGCCCGGGCTACTCACCGCGGCACGGCACGGCCCCGCCGGGGGAACGGGGCGCTGCTCAGGGCCGGCGCCGGGCTCCCGGCGGCCGCCTGGCGCTGAAGGGGAGCCGCCGCTTCCCGCCCGCCGCCATGGGCGGGACGAGTGGCAACTTTCGGCCTCCGCCTGCCGGCGCCGTGCGGCCGCCCCCAGCCCGAGGGAGCCGGGGGACGGTCCCGCAGCGCCGTCGGAGCACGGGGGTGAGGGAGAGGAGGGGAGACGATCCGCGCTGCCCCGCCGCCTGCCCTCGGGCACAGCCAGCGGACGGTGGCGTCGTGCCCACCCGTGCCCGCGGTGCCATCGCGCCTAGCAGGAGCCGTGCGAGCCGCCGCTTCGCAGCGTCCTGCCGGGTCGTTGCTGCTGCTGCCGCTGCTGGTTTTGTTTCAGACTGAAACCCTGCGGAAAGACACCCGGGCACGGGAACCTCGGACATCGCTGGTTTGGATCTGCTCAGTCCTGGCTGCTCAGCTGCAGGCACCCAGGACCGGCACCTAGATATTTCAGCCCAAGGCGTTTTCGGGTCTACTTCAACTGCCTTCAGCTCGCTTTTACAACTATATATGTGCTGTCATGTAAACGTGTCTTGTGTACGTTCACAGCCTACTTCAGAGAAAGTATCCTAATGGAAATAGGCTGTAATCCTTTATTGTGGAAGAATTTATTGAGATAGAAATACGGTAATCCTGTTATGAGAATAAAAAGAGATTGCGGTGTGAATTGAAAAGATCAACTCATGTAATTACTTAACATGATAATCTTTTGAGATTTGCTTTTTTTTTTTTTTGCTTTTTTTTTTTTCTTTTGCCTCCAAATTAAAACTGCTTCATCCTCTCGTGTCAATAAGAATAATTTCCAAGCCAGAAAGCATCTGATTTCCATTGCATGGCGAAGATATCCATGGTAATTAAAGGCTGGACCTTTTAAAACAAATTTGGAACAGTAAAGCTGGCAGCTTATCCTGTAAAATTAGCATATTTAAGATAAGCTAGCTGGATTGTGTCAGTTCATAACAGATTGTTAACATTTGGTCGCGTTTTTTAAGATCCAAGTCACTTTGTGCCTTGGAGACCGCAGTAATAGTGCATGCAGCCTGTTGTGTTATTTCTGCTGTGGCACTGGAAATTGGATATGTTTCTTTGTTTGTTACTGCATTTGTCTATAAGACAAACTTGTAATTTAAACAATTTATCTAGATAAATTTATCTCTGATAAAATATACACTTTGTTAAAAATACAGTAGTTCTCAGAGTAGCATAGGCTGTAAGACACAAATGGGCTGCACGCCTTGGCTTCTTTGGAGCCATCTGTGTTTCCACATGTGTGTAGTTTACCAACATCTGCAAGCCGTAGTAGGTCTCTGATTTTCATTCCAATACTAAGGACTAAAGGTTTGTTGGTAAGAATTAGCTACATACCTGCTATTTTTACTCCCTATGTTTACTCTTATTTAACAATCAGTAAAAATCAAAAAAATCCTGAAGACCAGAACATTGTAAAGAACTGTAAATGAGACAGTAACTGGAATTAAGGCAATATGATACTGAGAAGGAAAGAGCAGTGCTTTCGTATATTCAGCGGACAGAAGTGCTACCGGGATCTGTAGCAGAAGGTAGCTAGCATTATAAAAACAACTGTGTTCAGTGTCTCTGTGTATGTCCAGTTTAGTATTCATAAATAGGGAAGTGAATGTGATCAGACTGTTTTGTGTGTGAATATGTTTATGCTAAGTGCCCTACCTCAACATTTTGAGGCTGCTGACTGACATCAAATCTAACTGAGAAGTAGAGCTCTCAAAAAATTAATTATTTCCTATGATTGTAATTGAAGTAGGAATATCTGGTTAGAAGTGAGAACCTCTACTAATATCCTCACTGTTAGAAGTCTTCCTCATGGACTGAAAGGTTACTAAGCACAAGTGAATCCACACAAAGGGAGATGTTATGAATGCCCTGATCCTAAAGAAAACATCGACAGACGCCTTCATCTTCTTAGATACCAGGAAGCATCTGCAAGATGTAAATGCTTAAGAAACTGTACAGTGAGTCAGTGGCAAAGACAAGAATAGAAACATTGCTCTACTCATATCCTATATTGGGCATAGTGGAGTGGAGAGCAAGCTTATTGGAGAGAGAGGAAAGAGAGACAGAGACATAATGCTGTGTGAAAAACAGTGTGCAGTGTGTTGAAAATGCTGCAGACTTTGTCTTTAAAACGTGTAGAAATTTCATGCATTAAGCTTACTCAGGTAGAATAGGAAGGGTCTGAGCAAAATAGCGTAGAATATGCTAACTGACTGGATAAACAGCCTTTTGTGACTCCAGAATATTAGCAAGCTCATTCCATCTGTGAAAAAATAAACTTACCAGAGACATATTGCAATGCATATGAATGTATATCATCCCTCTATATTGTACGTTTTTAAAATGTCATCATATTGAAAAGCTGTCTGCCTCCAAGAACAGAAAGAAGGAAGTCTGGTCAGTGAGACCATAGTAAGAAACCAGAACTGGTTGCCTTCTCCCTCCCTTTCCCTTCTCTTTCTTGTACTTCCTTGTGAAACTTTCTCATCCTACACTGAGACCTCACACATTTATAGCACACATGATTAAGAGGAGATCTGATTCAGAACTTAAAATGAAGCCTTTGATAGTGTACTGTTAGTGCATTTGGAGCACAAGCATTTGTGCAGGACCCTGCTGCCGCAGCTGGCTGGACAACTGAAGCAGGTGGAAACTGAGTGCTCCGTCAGGCCGCAATGCCTCAGCCCAAGGCACGAGGCGTCCCCTGGGAGGGCACCACAGCCCTCGCTGGCAGCAGTGGCCTTGAGCAGGTCAGTGACAGGTCCGTTTTCCAGTGCCAGTCGTTACTGCTTTGTCAAGTGAATGTAGTATCAACAGCGGTCAGCTGAATGGTTCATTTAGTTCAGATACATTGTCCAGAGGGAGGAGCACTTTTATAACCAACTTCATGAAGCAGTATACTTAAGTGGCATTTGATTACACTTAGTAAAGCTGGATTGAGGTGTTGGCAGAATGATGCTCTGAATAAATAAGTTGTCTTCCTTGCATTCTTAAAAACCATTGGCAGTGTTTGAATTACACTAAACTGGGTTTTGTGGTTGCTTTTACAGCTACTGCTTGTGACTGTTACAGCTGTGCTTGTGATTTTAAATGTCTTGCAAGAAAATGTCATGTAGCATTGAAGGCAATAATGTAACATTTGAAACAAATATGTTCATCTCTTACCTATCTATCCATCCACCTATTTATTTTGCTCCATGTAGCTTAAGAATATATTCAATTCTGCACATAGGTGTGTACTTAGATATGCGTGTGTGTGTACCTATCACCCTGGCTTTAGATGTTTTATTCTTGCTTTCAATGCTATGTGAATTTTATGAGCTTGATCATATACTGAGACTGCCAATCTATTGGCATAGTGAATCCAGCATTTACCGTTGGAAGTAAATGATATTTTTGTTACAGAGATATGGATTAGTCGTATAATAGAATTGAAAGTCACTGAATAATTCATTGTTTCAGAAACTGTCTAGACAAGTTAAAGAAGGAATAACTAAATCAACAGCTAAGTATCAAAAGCATGCTTAGTCTGCTCAGGCTTAATAGAAGTAATTTGAATCTGTGATGTCCAATACAGAGTCCACTGCAGAGGCCACTGCAGCTCTTCACATCATGTGAAGTTAGTACGGTTCTTAAAGTGATTTCACTGAGAGCTGCTTAGTAACCAGCTCTTGAATTTGGAATACCTTTAAGGTTAAGTAAGGGTAATAAAACTGATGTACACCTAACTGAAATACTTTTCTGGGAAAAGTGCATGGCTTCTTTCTCAGCTATATATGCCAGAGATGTCAAATTCACTTTTTGGAAAGGCCCTCCTAGCATCACCGTACATGACAGCTCATGAAAACCAGGCTGTGGTGATGCCATGATGCTCTGACATGATCTAATTTGGAAGACAGTCCCTGTTCACCATGGAGATTTCCTGTGCAAGGGTGTCGGACCAAGAAGCGGGAGAACAGGCAAACGGCTCTTCCACAGCATTTGCTGGTATCACCATGCGATGGGTACTCAGCAGTGAAGATGCCACCTCTTGCAAGTTTGGGCCACTAAGCAGTTAAACAGATTTCCATGAGAGATAAGGGGAAGCTTCTTAATACTTTTAGTAGACTTTTTTTTTTTTTTTTTTTTTTTTTTTTTTTTTTTTTTTTTTTAAGGATAATGTTTAAAGAATTTTCAGCATAAGAGAATAAGCACAATCAGTTTAAACACGGGTACGCTATTTTCACAATCCAGGTCTGACACAAAAGTTGCATGTTTTTGCTAACAGGAACTCCTGGTATTCAGAAGTTCACCTCTGTTTGAATGTCTCTGTTGTTTCTTTAGGCAACAGCTAGCACTGAGGTAAGAATTCTGCCTTCTTCACTGTTCCCCTTTTTAAGCATTCTTATTAATTTTGTCATTTTACAGAAGTCTACTGTTTCACATATAATCAATGTGATTAGCAAATGACTACTGTAAATAATACATACTCTAATACAGTATTTACTGAATACTGTAAATAACAAGAGTACAAAAGGTATTGAAGTGATAAACTTTTAAAATAATAGGTAGATTTAAAAATATTTTTAAAACTATAGAAATTAATAGATGAGCAGACAGAAGCAGTGTAGGAGGTCCAATCAACTATCATTTGAATTGCAGCTTTAATGTGAACAGCATGAAAGAAAACATCTAATTCAAAGAGCTTGTTTTTCAAAGGAACATTTCATAACTGTGCATTTAACATGAACTGCTTACTTCAATTGTTTCTACTTGATCTTTTCTGTTAGCAATAAATATACAAAAAGAATTTAATATTTCTAGACCTTTTTCCTTCAAAAAAGCTCATAACTTTAGAATAAATTAGAACATTATTGTGCTTGAACAAGTGAGTTCAGTGTTGTGCCAAGAATACTTATTACTAAATAGAAAAATCATGTTCATGTTCCAAAACAGCTAATGCTAAAAGAATTTGTTTTAGTCTGCTGGGTGAGGCTCAATTTAAAGGAAAAATCCATCTTTTGAGCATCCTGCATTATATGTTTTCCATAGGTCACTTTGGTATTAGCACTGTTGTGACCAGCCTCAGTAAGTCAGCCCTGTCTCCAGTGACTTTCTGCATTGATATCACATGGTAGTGCTATCACTAAGTTTTCTTCTATCAGGATGCTGT